AATGCGTTGATTTATATCTGAAGTTAATTTAACTGAAATACACTTTAATAATAACAAACTCTTTATCATTCCCCAGATTTCGACACAGAATACGATAAGTTATTCAGCACGCCGCTTTACTTCTGATGGTGGCGGGTGACATTTGTATTCATGACTATGATTATTTGTAATGTTCTGGGTGTTGTCTATGTATATTATGTATGTATTTACCAAAAATTATCTAAATATTTATATCAGTTATATTAGTACCCATAACACAAGCTCTGCGTACCGTGGAACTAGATGGCAGTATGTTAATTGTACTACGATATTATTGTTTATATATATTTATACTTACATATTCAAGTGCCTTCAGGTTTCATATATAATGCTACGTTTACATTCAGCCGCTTCCCCTGCCACTCGCGCTGCCAGTCCTTTGACTCGCGCACGAAAAACCGACAATCGAGGGAGCGCCGGGCAGCGCGAGTGGCAGCGCCAATGGCATGGGAAGTTTTTCCACTCGTGTTTGCACTCTCGCGCTGCTCACTTCCCTGTCCACTCGGGCTGAGTGTAAATTGGGCATAAGAAGTAAGTAGGTTGTTTATTTATTACCATCTATGCCCGCCCTTTCACCGGGTGAAATTTGGAGCCTATATGTTATTCTGATGTATACGCTATATTACTGTAAAGTTGCATCAAAATCAGTTTTAGTTTTTATGTCAAAGAGTAACAAACATCCATGCATACTCACAACTTTCATGTTTATAAGATTATTTATTAAATAATGTATATTATAGAAATATATTGAATTTATTCGTATGTTGCCATCTAAATTGATCAGAATGGAGTTATTACGTTACACAAAGTGGAATAAATTTGAAATGTAAAGTTCAAGGCTTGAGATTTGCTGGCTCAGATTGTCGCTATGTGGTACAGCGAGACAGATCTAAGCTAATAATGATATTTATTTAAACCATGTTATATCCATGACTGTACAGTTTGATACACAAACTGTAAGTTGTTGTACAAGTATAAGTACAAGTTGTAAGTTAAATCAGGAATCAGTTCCTTTTCAAAAACATATCTGTATGTAAAGTTATAAATAAACTTAATTATCATTTTACTTAGTTTAATTTTGCTTTTGTGTGTGCCAGTGTGTGTATGTAGTTATTGTATAAAGAAGTAAGATTTTTAATATTATATATCTACTTATTATCTAATTCCAAGCTAAGCATAATCTAAGTTATGGGTAGAGGACTAATAAACTTAAGTACATTTTTCTTTGTGAATACACACACAATATATGTATATGTATAGAAAACCAGACCGATACAAATATATGATTATTTGTATCGGTCTGGTACAAATACATAGATATATATATTTTCGTAAATACATACATATTACACATAGAACACCCAGACCGATACAAACAATCATACTCATAATATGTTTGTATTATGTAAGAAATCGAACCCGCGACCATTGAAAATAAGGCGGTGTGCTAAACCATTTGACCACCAAGGTCGTCGACACAAATACTTTGTTTTGTGCGGGAACTGATCGCACGAGGTAAAGCGAGGCAGTGCTGCCACTACAAAACTAGGCTCATATAAAAGTCTATTTAAAAAAACTTAAAATTAACTCGTCCCTACAAAGTTACCGTCTAACACGAATGGTCAACCTTTCATCGCTCAGTAATTGTTTTAGCGCAGCTACAAAGGCCGCGGGTCAAGGTTCGATGCCGAGCAGTCGCCGGTTATTGTCTTCACCGTAATCTGATCACCCTGAGGTCACTTCCCTGTGACGTGACATGACCACACCGATCAACTTGATCAATAGATAATGTGTAATAAAAAATAATATAGTTAGATATTTCGTAGGAAATTTTATTATATCTAAAGGTCATAATTTTTTACATATAAGGAAGTTAATCAGTTAATTTTTCAATTAGAATTGTCCTTGAATATGTTTTAAACTTTATCTATATTATAAAGTGTATATCTACTATATATAAATAATAAATAAACAATCATGAACATGCCACACGGTACCATTTAGTTTTTAACTAAACCAAATGGTTTACTACCCTTATTTGTACACAAAATCTTCCCCACCGATCAATTCTCATCCCGTTCAAACGGTGATCGAATATACGGCGGCCTGAGCTAAGGTTTGAAGTTTTTATTTTTTTATTAAAGGAAAACCAAGGCTATTCAAGTACATCTTAAATAAAATCAATATATACGTCATAATAAGCCACTGACAGGCTTAGACTAATTCTTAAAAAAATTACATCACTACGTATGTATAAAGGCATTATAAAGTTAACAGAGAATATGAAATTAATTAACAAGAGTACAGTAACAAATAGTAAATTTATAGAAATATATACATATACATGATTTTCAATAATAATTAATTGTTATTTAAAGAAGGGCTCACTTAGTTGGTGTCTCGTTGATTTAATATTATTACAAAATATATCTATATTAACAGAATATAGAGAAATGAAATCTGCTTATAGTTCGACGACACTAGGGGAACTGATAGGAAAGGATTGTGCCTTGTTGATACTCGTGGTACATTAATGGATAATTTACCCAGAAGATTTGGGCTGTCAACAGCACCAGAGGCTATAGTTTTGCATTCCTGAAGACCTCGACTATTCAGTCTTTGATCATCTGAGTCGCGTAGGTACTACATAATATTTATGTTTATTTATTACCTAATCTTTATAACAACTAATCACTATAAAATCAAAACCACTAATCAACTGCTGATCTTGAGGGTATTACATTATCAAGTAATATTTCATGTCAGCAGTTTAAGCTCTCAAAAATAGAGTAGAAACCAAAATTAGTATCACTACATTATTCCAAAGCCGTTCAAAATAAAAACAAAAAATATAAAATACAGAAATATTCTCATAAATTAACAAATTGATGTAACGTTGATCCTAATACATTTTGACAATATAATACCCTCGTAATATTAATTTAATAACAATATTAACCTTTACGAACAAAGCGGCGAGCAGCGGTTGTCAAAATATGACGAATGTTGGATCAGGCGGACTGATAAAAGCTATTATTATTAATAATGTGGGCAGAGCCTTGACCTACAGATAACGTACCTTCCGAATAATAAAGGTAATCATATATTATGCACATAGAACAATTATGCGCGTTTACTATGTACTCTATCTTGTCGCGGGGGGGGGGGGAGGTATTGTTAGTAATGTGGACTCTTGACCCCATTGCTAGCAATGTACCATGCCAGGTTGACCTCCACGCGGTTCCCCCTGGAAACCATCGTGATAAATTACAGGTGAATTTGTCACGCTGGGCTAACTGACTTGACCTCATGCTCATATTATCATCCTCCACTGGTGCCCCGCCAGCGTAAACCGTTAACGCGGGCAGGTGCACCATTTCATTATCATATACAAAAAGAAACTCTATGCTGTCTTAATTACTGACTACTGTATATAAAATATAATATAATATATATGTATTTATTTCTTAATTTAGCATACCCTCTAAAGGAACATTAAACAATTAAAACTTTGGCCGTATCAAATCGTGGTTGAAGTACTATTTAATATCATAATCCAAAAAAATATGATAATAAACACAATAGAAAAACAAATATAATTAATAAAAAATATAAAACTCATCTTGTTCGATTGTTAGTAATATGGACTAATAATTCCATTGCTAGCAATGTACCATGTCAGGTTGACCTCCACTTTGGCAACCTTCGTGATAAATTCCTGGTAAATATACCACGATGGGCTAACTAACCTGACCTCATGCTCATCTTATCATCCTCCACTGGTGCCCCGCCAGCGTAAACCGTTAGCACAGGCGGGTGCACCATTCCATTCATAAGACTACTGCACTAGCTGCAGTACTTAACTTTATTTTAATTGATAGGTACTGTATGTAGGTACGTCCCTAAACAACAATATTGCTCGCATATATACATATTTCTTTTTTATTTAATAAAAATATTACCAAATACATAAGTCTCCTAATTAAATATAAGAAACACAGCAACATTTTTTATGAACTTATTACTAACCATATGTCCATGATTACATTTAATGGTAGTAAGTAACTACTAATTTATTTTAAGTACCGTAGAAATCCCCGCTGGCGGTGGTCACTCTCGATGGTTTATTTATAATCTGTAATAATCTAATATGGCCGCATTCCAAACTGATAGTGTTGCGCAATTAATTATAACACTGTCCCTAAGCGGCTGTTGATGTAAGAAAGAAAGCGTGTCCTTATGCAGAGCTTAGCGCATGCGCTGAATCGTAAGGCCAAACTCGTACACGACCGGAATGTAGAGCATTTATTGTAGGTCGCGGATGACTCAGGCAAGACTAAACGGTGCTATTTATTTAGTTTCCAAACTATAAATAAAGTATTGTAGATTTCCCAACAAGAAAGGACCATATATTAAGACTTCGTCTGTCTAACAGCACGATCTTTCGACAACCGTAATGCTTTGATTCGAAGTTCGAAATAATTTTATTACAGTAGGCCAAATCAGAATAAATTCCAAATTAAATATATCTATAATATATTCTTTGTATGGATCTGTAGTCCAATAACTCGAAATTACGAAATATTCTTAACATCTAACTTTTAATAACTTAAGTGGAGTACCTACATAAAAATAGTATTTTATACCTATCGTTTGTTTCAGTTTATTATAATTTATACGACATCGACAGTGATATCAATTTATCTTAATGTATTGTAATATTTTTTTATACCACAGACTATTTATATAACTACGTTTTCTAAACTACTACATTTCTAATGTATAAAAATAAAATAATTAAAGTAGTAGTAGTAGTAACAATGCAAACAAAATGTTATTTGTATTGTAAATCCTCGAGATTAGTGTACATATTTGTTGTGCTCTGGACTTTTATCCAGAGCCGTAAAACATAATAATAAAAAAAATGTCATTAGTTAGATATGTCAAACTTGTCACTTATGCCTGTCACGGTTGTCAAATTGCTATGCTAAATAATTTTTGTTTGTTGTTAAATATTGTAATTTGTATTACAATGAAAAGTGTGTGAATAATGACAATATAAATCTACACCGAGAACTTATAAAATCACTAAATTTTGTCCATTACATAATAATAATATAAATAGCAAGATTTCAATCAAAATTCTATTTTGACAATTCTAAACCACATTGTAATATTTGCGTGGTTATTTTGGTTCAATAGACACAATTCGTGTTATTTTTTTGACTAGTTAACAAAGTATGTAACCGATTTACTCGTGTCTGAGATTATACGTTTATTTACTAGTGTATTAATAATTTGTCACGGTGTTTTCTTACAAAAGCGAAATGTCCATGCCACATAGCAGCTCGAGTACTACGAGCTCTAGTACAAAACGCAAGGAAATATACAAGTAAGCTTTTTATGTTAATAGTTTTTTTTTATCTAGTTTTATTTTGGGATTTTTGTTTTCAAACTTGTCAACCCCATTATTACAAACTATATATATATATATATATATATATATTTATTCAAATTCAAATTCAAAATGTCTTTATTCATGTAGGTCTATTACAGACTCTTATGATATGTCAAATCTACCGTCAGTTCGGAATGATATCGAGATGAGAAGAACTGACAAGAAACTCAGGTCGTAATTTTTTTTCAAATAATAGTGGAACATGTTTACGATAAATACAGTTATTAAAAAAAAAATTCAAATTTGGGAGAATAGAATGACCACCAGCATATGCTATCGCAAAGAACAAAAAAATTAATCAGTGTTCACAACCTGAACAGACCAGTCCCCACAAGCAGCACCCGTTCACGAGTATGACGTATGAGCCAGCCATCATTGTACTCAACCATATTTGAGGGAGCACATCGACCCGGCCCACCACGCCGCCACAAGTTTGAACTTTATAGCGAGCATGACTGTTTCAAGTTACTCCACTACATCATTTATATTATTTACAGTATAGGCTGTACCGATTACTGTTTTCACCCATTACAATATTAAATTTACAATTTGTCAATACTAAATTTATAATAAGTTTCTTTATTGTTATTACATTATCCATGTCAATTGGGAAAAATTATATGCCTCATAACAAAAGTTAAAATTGTAATTAAGTCCACACATTGTAGTCATTTAAGTAGTCGTTTATTTTATAAAAAGCTTTAGAGCAAAGTGTTTTTTTTACATGTATCTTAAATTTGCCTTCACTTAAATTTAAAACACTATCTGGCAATTTATTATAAAAACGTATACAATGTCCCATGAAAGATGTACTTACTTTTTTAGACGATAACTAGGCATATTTAATTTATTTTTATTCCTTGTATTAAAAGCGTGTAAGTGACTATTTTTTGGAAATAAATTTAAGTTTTTGCGTACATACATAATATTTTCATATATATATTGAGAGGGAACAGTAAGAATACCTGTTTCTTTAAAGCGTTCTCTAAGAGATTCGCGACACGGTAAATTATATATTGAAAATTGCTCTTTTTTGTAATATAAAAATTGATTCTACATCAGATCTTCCCCACAATATAATACCATACGACATTATACTATGGAAGTAACTAAAATACACTAGTTTCGCTGTTGCAGTATCAGTCAACTGTCTAATTTTTCTGATAGCAAAAGCAGCCGATTAGTCTTTTGGCTAGTGTGAATATATGTGGACCCCACTGCAATTTATTATCTATTACAATACCAAGAAACGAAGTCTCATCAACAAAGTCCAAAACATGATGATTCATACTAACAGTTGTCGTTACTTGTTTTACATTTGGTAAAGAGAATTTAACACATTTTGTTTTCATTGAATTAAGCGCTAGATTATTTGATGTAAACCAGTTTAGAACATCCTCAAGAGCAATATTTATATTATTAAAATCCTTTGTATTTCTTTTCACTTTGAAAATAAGTGAAGTCTCATCAGCAAACAATACACTGTCAAGTATGTTTTGAAACTGGTATGGTAAGTCATTTATGTAAACAAGAAAAAGAAATGGCCCGAGGACAGAACCCTGGGGTACACCCATTTTTATATATGACCCCTTGGGCTTGCTTCCTTTAATGTCTACCACTTGAATTCTATCGCGCAAATATGATCCAATGAGTTCTGAGGATTTTTCTCTAATTCCATAATGCTCTAGTTTGCGTAATAATATCCTATGGTCAACGCAATCAAACGCTTTAGAGAGATCACAGAAGACACCAATGTGTGTCCTGTGAATCTTCCCAGGCACCGAAAATACTTTGTATTAAGTTAATGCCTGCATCAGTAGTAGACCGTCCAATCATAAATACAAATTGCTGTTTATGAAATAAATCATGTGTATTAAAATGAGCTAACATTTGTGTAAGTAGTATCTTTTCAAAAATCTTACTAAATACTGGTAAAATTGAGATAGGTCTAAAATTTGATATATTGTCTTTGTCACCAGATTTAAATAGCGGTATTATTTTACTCACTTTCATTAGATCTGGAAAAATACCTTGATCAATGCTCATATTAAATATTTCAGTTAAATGTGAAGCAACTTCACTTATTACAGTTTTCATGACTCTAACTGACATACCCCAGATATCCTCAGTACCTTTTAGATTGAGAGCGTTGAACGTTTTTATCACACAGGAGCAACTGATATGATGAAAAGTAAAGTCATGAACGCAAGGATTTATGGTATTTTTAATAATGTTTCAGCTAAACTAGGTGACGAGTTTAAATTTTCCGTAGCTTTGAGAGGTATTGATGAAAAGAAATTATCAAAAGTTTGAGCAACTAGTTCATTATTATTAATAATAACGCCATTTTCTGCTTTTAACTCATATTCTGACTGGCGCGACTTAATGTTACCTGTTTCTGTATTTATTATATTCCAGGTAGTTTTTATTTTATTTTTAGAAAACTTAATTTTATTCTTTAAATAAAGTGCCTTGGCGGCCTTACATACTTTTTTGAATAACTTTGAATAATTTTTGACATATTCATAGAATATAGGATCACGCAAATATGATCTAATATCATATAATTGATACATATTTTCCCTACTTATATTGATACCTAATGTTGACCATTCAGCGTACTTAGAATTATTGACTTTAAGTTTCTTTCCTGTAAAATTTTTATCAAAATGATTTTTTATTATATTGAAAAAACGATTATATGATATATTTGGATCAATATTATCAAACATCAAAAACGGTAAACTTCCATTTAATCTGTTTTTAAAATTCTGTAATTTAAATGCTGTTGTTGGTCTGTAGAACTTATACATAATCTCGTTTTTTTCATTACATGCGAATGTTACTATTTGTCCACAATGGTCTGACGGCAATCTATTTATAATCGATTTATTTAAAATACTAAAATTACAATATATATTATCAATACATGTTGCCGTAGTGGATGTAATCCTAGTAGGTTCAAAGAAAATATGATCCAGATCAAAACTTTTAAAAGGTTTCTAATTTTATTACTTATAGGACTATCAACAAGAAGATCTATATTGAAATCCCCACATACCAAAATAAATTTGTTACTTTTGAATGCTAACTTCAGTACATCTTCCATGGTAGACTCAAATTTTTCATAGTCTGAGTTAGGAGGCCTATACACACATATAATTATGTGTTTCTCTAGTTCTACACATGATAATTCTATAATGCATTCATTTGAAAGTGCTACAATATCTTTACGTTCTTTCCCTTTAATGTTATTTTTTAATAAAATAATTGAACCACCTCTAATTGAAATTTGCCAGTAAATGTACTCAATATTTCATAATTTGGTAACTGAAATACCATATTGGACTGTTTTAACCAATGTTCTGTGAGGCATACAATGTCAATATTAAATTTACTTATAAATAATTCTATCTCTAATTCTTTGCCAAGAAAGCCTTGAATATTTTGATGTACTATATTTAGTTGTGATGGCTTTCTCTTTGTCTGTAACTTAAGTTTAAAGATTCTTGCACAGAAACATTAGTAAAACTACTAAAAACTGTGCAGTCAGAATAAGTACCCGTTATACTACTTATAACAGGATTGTGTATATTATAAGCTAACAAAGTAGCTATATGTCTTTTATCAAAATGTGACAAATACAAAGTATTTTTAGTCAATGTAAATTTTTTTACAAATTTATTTGTATCAAAACAATGAATGTTGTCATTATAACAGCTCATGTTATATATATGAGTGTTAAGTTTAAAGATATAATTATTTCTATTCTTTGATAATGATTTTGAGTATGGAAATGTACAAATTACAAATTTTTTAATTCTCATATTTGAGACAGATTCAAATAAGTTCATCAAATCATTTTGAGTGATACCTAAACTATTTCCAATGAATAACACAATAGTTGTGTATTCAGTATAAAATTATTATCTATTTATATTTTTTAACATTCTATCAACTATATAATTAAATGGGGCATCCGGCATACAATTGTTTTGGATATGTTCACTCAAACAGTTATTCATGAGCGATCCTAGATTTATTCCTATACTATCTGAATATATTACAGTGTTATTCTTACATGTGTGGTGACTACTAACAACATTGGGTAGTATATTTGTTTGTTCCGGAGTGACAATGGATGTTGATGAAGGTGATGTGTAATTGCCCGACATAGTGTTGCAGTCTGCATGTTGCTGTGACAGTTGTTCTAAACATCATCCAACTGATGTTCCACTTTCACTTTTTGAGTTAAATTCAAAAAATTCCTTCATCACAACATTATGTTTCGATATTTGAAACTGAGCATGTGAGTACTTGTCACTAATAGCATCCAATATATTTCCAGTTCTTTTATATGCAATAATAACCTGTGTATTTGTATCAAACTGTAATTTATGGGTCCAGAACTGATTTTCATAATATTCTAATTGTTTTTCAAAATTAAATTCTTTTTCTTTTACTAATTTTGATAAGGCAGTTTGATTAAGTTTGAAAGATTTTCTTAATCTTTTAATTTGTCTGCTTATTTTTCTATAGTTCTTACTATTGTAATTAGTTAGATGGGTGCTTTACTCGTTCTGTTGTACAAAAGGCTTCTGTGTGTCGGAGATGGAGTGGACAGGGTCAGGCTCATCACATACACTTTGTTCGATCAACTCGGCATATAATGTCATAGTCTTTTCTGTTTCTTGGTCTCCCATTTTTGTGGTCAATGTGTTAATTTTATTATATGCTTCTGACAATTCACATTCTAATTCATGAATGCGGTTGAGTGCACAGTCATGAGCATTCCGGCACTGGTCAAAGGAGTCGACAAGAAACTGCAGTTGATCCCGTTCTTTTTGTACATTTTGATATTTACAGTCTAATTCAGCCAAGTTTTGCTTTAATATAGTATTTTTATGTACTATATTTGATATTTCTACCTCCCCCTCATCCCGTTCCTGAATTAATTTGTCACATAGTTCCTTCTTGTCTTTTAACTCTGTAAAGCCTTCTTCAATTTCACATCCAAGTCCTTTTGCTAGTGACCATTTTTATATAAACATAGTAAAGATAAAATAGATGAGTATTGAAAATATACAATTTAGTAAGGCTGATAGGGTCTGTTAATATATAAGATTACTATGACAATTTAATAAATTATAAAACAATTTTGTAGTTGTGTATTATTTTATATTTATGTATTAATTATTAATTAAGAAAATATACTAGAAATTGTCAGGGAGTACAGTAAAGACAAAATAAACGAATCGTTAGTACTATTATGTAGGTAGTTAGGAGTGTATTTTGTAAGTCGCAATTATTGTTAAATATTTCTAATATTACTTTAGGAATAAAATGAGTAAAAAATGGTAAATCTAGATACTTATTTTTCTATAAATAAAACAACATTCAAAGAATTTGTATATAACAAACGATCTATAGCATGTGATGAATTGTGACAATCTAATTATTTAGATTAGCAAGAAAGTATTTATATTAAATTTTTTTGATTAAATAATTACTCAATCAAAGGTAAACATATAAATAAAAACAATACTTCCCCGTGGTTATCCAAAGTTTATCCAAAGTTTTTCGAATTTTTTTGCCGTTGACCCCGTTTGACAAGATGTCGAACGGGCAAGATTTACAAATTAAATCTTGATGAAGTCTTTAACAAACACTGGTACTAATTAATTATCACTTATTATATTAAATTTTATTAAAATACACGATATTTATTAGTAAAATTAAATTAAAATATAAATAATGTATGAGCTGTTTGTTTTGACAGCCGGCCGTCAACCATCCATCGTCGATATCATATCATCATATATATATATATATATATATAAACAATCAAATAATTAACAACTGCGAAAGCTAATAGTTCGTAAGTTACAATTGGATGTGACCATGCTTTGTAATATTTACTTAATTATATGAGGGTATTTAAAATGAACATGAAAATCAATGTTTTGTTCTCTGTACTATCTTCCAAACTGAGCTTACGACCTTTTTGTATTGTTGTGGACTGTGGTTGAACTGTGTATTGTCCATATTTATAACTAGCTGTGCCTGCGGTTTCACCAATGTATGAGTTATATTACTGCAAAGTTTCATCAAAATCCATACAGTAGTTTTTGCGTGAAATCCATCCATTCTCACAAACTTTGCATTTATAATATTAATAATATAGTGTAATTGTGTGCAATTGGTAATAATGAAATAAATCAATTATTTATCTAGAAATATAAATACAACAACAAAAAGTATATGTTAACATGTTAACTGGAGAATTCCTTTTTCAATTGCGCAGCATAAAATGGGCACTGTCTCTCACTAGGATGTGACAGTACGTCAGCACAATATAATTTAATATATATATTTTTTATATGAAATATTCCACCCCATCAAAGTTCCAGGGCACAGCTGAAATTTAAATATGTAGGTGTAGATATGTCCTACACGTACACAAAAGTTTGACGTTTGACATATTTATATGTCTCGGTTAACAGGTTAATCGTCCCATTGAGTATTAGACTCAACTTTTACATATTGTACGTAATTCACATATTATTGTAGATACCAAGCACCATGGCCGCTGTATTCCATGAACTGGTCGGTGCGGCCAGACAAGAGATTCCGGTTGGCTCTCGGCAGCTTTGTTGAGGAATACAACAACAAGGTAGATATTATGGATTAAAACACATTTATATTTTAGAAACATGTTTTTTAATATGAATGCTTGTATTGAGGCTTACATGGAATGATTATATTTGAGTACCCTACATATTTGACTTTATTGATAAAAAGTTATATTGAGGGTGACAATAAAAGACACACACAATTATTGTTATACTATTATTTCAATAATACAGTAAGTCCATGCAATATACATTGTTAATGTATAAGTATGTGTTTGAAATGTATGACTTATGTATATTTGTATGTGTACAATATTAAAATAAAATTGTAACTGGCAGCCTACAAATATGTAAGTGTACACAAACATATAAATCTACAAATATATAAGCCATGCAGCCATAATAGAAAAAAAATAAAAAAAGAACAAATGATATTAACAGATGTTATAGAGACATTACATTTTTATTTAATAAAAATCATTTTAAGTCTAATACTATACTAAAATTCTTGTCCAGACTTAAACAGTATGTGTATATATGTATATATGGTATGGTATGGATGTACATAGATTCTACATGATTACAGTAATACAGATTAAGTATATTAATTTTTTATGTTTAATTTTGACATTATAATTATAAAATTTTAAATTATGCATATATATTAAATCTGCAGGTGCAAATAATATCGCTAGATGAGGAAACGAGTGAGTTCAGTGCTAAAAGCACATTTGATCACCCCTATCCCACCACTAAAATCATGTGGATACCGGACAGCAAGGGGGTGTATCCTGACCTACTTGCTACCAGTGGTGAGTATCTAAGTTATTTATTTCGAACAACACCCTTTTTACAATGTGACTGTATATCTGAATTCCAATGTGAAATTATCACATAATATTAAGTGATATTTTAATTTATCTATACATATAAATAAAATTGGAGTGTCTGTTTGTAATAACCGTTTTTTACTACATGCATATGCATGTACATATGGTACATACACCAAAATAATATCTTTTACAATTTTTGTAATGGCTAATCTCTGAAAGGTCAAAATCCCAGCACTAAGCTCAAGGCTTGTGACGCAGGAATCAGAAATCTTTAATTACAGAAACATTAACTTAAAACAGGATTTTTTTTTCATAATACTTTGTTTTTGTGCATATATAAATATTTATAATTAAAGAACTACATAAATGCACTACTCAAAACGTGGTCTTATCGCTTAAAGTAATCTTTTACAGACACCCTTTTATATATGTAAATAAAAAAAAGGTATATTTTACACGAAGGTCCCAGATAGTATTTAGTGTTATTGATATTTTTTCATTTTTACACATTTATTATATTCCTATATTCATATATCTCTAAATAAAATTACAGTATCTTGGTATTTATAAAGTTCTGGTACTCTAACTGTAATTCCTACTTTCCAAGTTCCTTTATTATTTATTTATTTCACATTATTTCGTTCAGTTTATAAAAAAATATAAGTACATTATTCACCCTCAAGGACATAGCTGAAAATCAGTGTTTTGCTCCTTGAGTGATTCTCCACACTGAGCTATGTACCAGTTTTGTATCTCTGTAGCACGCACATGCAGGTTTACCCTTATTGAATTGTTATATTATAACTACTTGTCATGTGATATTATAATTAAGCTTATATGTGTGTACTAAGATACAAATAAAAACTATTATCTATCTATCTGATTTCCAGGCGACTACCTCCGCATCTGGCGTGCTGGTGAACCATACACACTCTTCGAATGTGTACTCAACAATAACAAGAACTCAGACTTCTGTGCGCCGCTCACCTCCTTCGACTGGAACGAGGTGGACCCCAATCTCATCGGGACGAGCAGCATCGACACCACCTGCACCATCTGGGGCCTGGAGACGGGACAGGTGCTGGGGAGAGTTAACGAGGTGTCCGGACATGTGAAGACCCAATTGATCGCACATGACAAGGTATAGTAATTTTTTTAAACAAGCTTGCGGGTTATCTGATGGTAAGTGATTACCGCCACCCATGAGCACCCGCAACACCAGGGGAATTACAAGTGCGTTGCTGACTTTTAAAGAATAACTTTGAATATTAATAAATCTCAGGACAATTCACACAGCACCATCTAGATCCAACTTAAGCTAACTAAAATTTGTGTTATGGTAGACAACTGATTCAAATACATAGTTTTTTTTTTTGTAAATACATACAATATCTATGTATTTGTATCAGTTATCAACAGTAACACAAGCTTTAGCTGGCTTAACTTGGGTCTAGATGGCGCTGTGTTAATTGTCCTGAGATTATTATTATTAAACTTAACCTAACTATGAACTACATACTTCTTTCAGTGTGCAATGAATGAATTTTATTACTATTGTGTTGTTATATTATGTTTGTTTGTTTGTTTGGCGTACAGGAGGTGTACGATATCGCATTCAGCCGCGCTGGCGGCGGGCGAGACATGTTCGCGTCTGTGGGCGCGGATGGGTCCGTGCGCATGTTCGACTTGAGACACCTCGAGCACTCCACCATCATATACGAGGTACCTACTTCACATTTATACATATAAACCAAATTGGAGTGTCTGTTTATAATATTCAAATAACCATTGTTTACTACATGCATATGAATATAAATACGGTGCATGCACCAAAATAACATTTTTTGCAATTTTTGTCTGTCTGTCTGTTTGTTCTGACATCTGAATGACAGGAAGGTTGTAATAAGGAGTAACTTAAGCAACTTTTATTTTATAAAAATAAAGTTAAATTCCAAACGGACGAAGTCTGAAACTCAATATATAACACGACACAGTCCATTCAAATCAAAAATAATGTATTCTATAATGTATATGTACAAGGTTGAAGGAAGTGATGTGCAGGGCCACACATAAGGGAGTAGTTTTAGCGCCTGGTGGCTCTTGCCGTATGATGTTTGCTGGCAAAAAGCGAGCAGGTGTTGTATTGGTTGTGTACGGGTACATGCCATGCACATCACAGGCCCTTCTGTATATTCGAGTTAACGAGTGCAAGTGTCTTTCTGTTATTTCGGTGGTATTCTTAGCCCTTATAAGGGGCTGTTCAAGTATTACGTGAGCAGGTTTATTACAATTATCCCTCCCCCCTCCCCCTATCCCCCTTGTCAGCAAAGCTCTTACCCCCTCCCCCATGCTTACGTAAACATGTTTCAATTAATGTATTGTTTTTTTAGCACAGACAATGTGAGGGTTGCCATTTTCGTAAAAAAGTAAATAACTACCTATGAATCATCATCTAGACTCCTCCACCCCCATGTCATCAAAAATAAGAAAGTAATGACCCCCCACCCCCCATTGTGCTTACATAATACTTGGACAGCCCCCAAGCTAGTGCTAATATCAAATTTCTTCCTGTAGGACAGGACCTCTGTCCTGTGAGCAACCTTTTTCATCAACGGGCCAATTTAAAGTTTAATCATTTAAGCAAACCCCATATAATGTAGCACTTATTAATAAGTAAATTTAATTAATAAATAATAATTTAATTAATAACAAATCATTTACAAAATTATTAATAAGTGCAATATAAAAACTCGTACAGACATTGCGCGTTATATTGCATGTGTGAAGAAGCCGCCGTATGTACCATTGTGTATATATTCTGTGTATATACCATTTTATTATAATTAATTTTATAACAATAAATAATTAATAGGTATTAATAAATATATGTTTGTCGTATCAAAATATTTTTTTTTACTATTGCACTAAAATAAAGACTAACTGCAATTTTTATAAAACAAATTACCTTTTTATTGTGTGGTGTGAAAAAAATATTCGTTTGTAGCTTAATACTGTAAAATTTGTATGGAAACAAAAATGTATTTTTATGGTGTATAATACAGCGACAGTAATGGCAACACAGTATATGTACGTAAATATCAAAATTCTATTGTGGAAACGTCATTTAAAGCATTAAAGGCCATTCGCTCCATTTATGGTATGGGTTCCAGGGAGTCATTGCGAGATTGTTTTAAGGAATCAAATATCCTCACCGTTGCTTCTCAATACATTTATGAAAATATCATCTATGCCAGAAGGAATATAGACAGTTAGTGATTGCAAATAAAAGAGACAATAACAAACTGATTTTACCTAAATGTCGTTTGGCTAAAGTTAGTGTTATAAATCTGCCACAAAAAAATTTAAATGTCAAATAAAACAGTTCCTTGGCAAAAAAGCTTACTATAAAATTGAAGAATTCGTTAACGATAATAATGTTTTTATAGAAAAACTTTAAATCTATAGCACTGACAATATTATCTGATTACATTAATAATGAGTGTGTAGCGACTTCTATGTTGATTATCACATGCCTCTTACTTGTTATACTGTAATTATTTATATAAAAAAAACATCTATTAAAAAGAGCAACACACAAGTTTCTTGCTCATTCTTCTTGTGATGAATCTGCATTCCGAATGAGTGGTAGAATCAAAATATGACTATTCAAAAGTGCTTGTAATGAGTTTATTTGAATAAATAATATTTCTATTTCTATAAAACTAATATGTTAAAATAAAAGTTTCCGATTAAACAAATCGGTATCGCAGGTACACCACTACTCCGCTATTGGTGGTAATATTATTTGATAAATTGACATTTACATCTGTCAATTTAGTCTCCGAGATTAAATACAGACTATAGTGAGTAAGTTTTCGCTCAATAAACAACTGTAGTCTCGTGCCGGCCATAAACGGATCGTGGCGCGTAAGAGGGGATATTCCGCATGTGAACGCCGCAGAGTTAACACGTGAAGTTGTGACTAATGAGCCTATTGAAACTGGGAACAATGATTTAGTCCCTTTTTGTACCGCTTGGCGTCGCTCTCTTCACTGTTTGCCATATTAAGTGAAACGTATCAATCATACAACTTTGTTTTTTATTAGGTCACCAACAAACATTACAATCTATTTATTATTTATTTAATCTTTTACACACAAAATTGTATACATAGCGGACTCAATGCCTGATGGCATTCTCTACCAGTCAACCGACGCGTTGATCAGAGATAGTATAGCGGTGCAATTTTACAAGTATTAAATAGATTAATACAGAAAAAAAAATATATATAGGTATAATATTATACTAAGCGCAATCTAAATTATAGGTAACTAAGACATTTACGTGACAAATTTGTGCTTAAAATTAACAATTAACAAAACAAAAACTACTTAAAATTCTACCTATAAAAAACCTGTACTGATTCAACTAGAACTTATAATAGTATTGAGACATCTGCAAAATTTGCAATAACTATTACTAAATATATCAATATCTAATCCAAACTAACACAAAATTATAGCAAACCTACCAAATTATCAATTGAGCCGATGTTATGGAGATAACAACTAATATACTAGGAAATATAAAATTACTTAAATAACAAATATGATAAATTTATTATTACAAAAACTAAGGGACTTCTGTAATGTTAGTATTATTGGGAAGTTTCAGAAATGATACGTCGATGCAGCAGTACATTTATTTTATTCCTTTTTCAAATTACACTCCACATAAATTGCTTGCATGAAGGCCTCGGTGGTCTAGTGGTTTAGCACACCGCTTTACTAGCCGATGGTGGGTTCGATTCCTCGCACGGTACAAACATTTGTATTCATGAGTATGATTGTTTGTATCGGTCCGGGTGTTTTCTATGTATAATATGTATTTATATCGTTTGCCCATAACACAAGCTCTGCTTAGCTTGGGACTAGATGGCGTTGTGTGACTTTACGTTGTGTCCTGAGATATTATTATTTCAAAAGTTGTTAATTTCTGTTATGTTAGAAAAATGAAAAAGAAACTATCTACATGAAAATTAATGTAAACTGAAATATTTATGAACAATTATATAAAAATCTATTATTCTCCTTAATATTATAACAATATTTTATTTGCTAATCTATACATCTATACATATAAATAAAATTGGAGTGTCTGTTTGTAATATTGAAATAACCGTTTTTACTACATGCATATGAATATAAATAAGGTACATACACCAAAATAACATTTTTTACAATTTTTGTCTATCTGTCTGTCTGTCTGTCTGTTTGGTTGTTCCGGTTAATCTCTGAAATGGCTGGACCGATTTTGACGGGACTTTTATTGGCAGATAGCTGATGTAATAAGGAGTAACTTAGACTACTTTCATTTTAGAAAAATAAAATTAAAATCCACTCGGACGAAGCCTCGGGAATATCTAGTATGGATAATTAGTAAGGTTTACAACAATGTTGGTATGATCCGTACATAATCTCATGAGGTGTGGCAATTTAATGGACAAATTGATACAATATCAGTTCAAAGAAACGATTACCCTTTTTAATACTTATACCTATAATAATAATAATCTATATTCACAAATATATATTACAATTTAATACATTTAGTCCTGGCTTTCGAAATAGATAAACATGTACCACGAAAGTCAGTTCCCCCTCATACATACTATAAACATTTTTAACAATGACGACCTCTGTGTCTAGCGATTTAGCACGCCGCTTTACGTCCGATTCCTCGCACGGCACAAACATTTGTATTCATGAGTATGATTGTTTGCATCGGTCTGGGTGTTTCCTATGTATAATATATGTATGTATGTACGAACAAAAATATCTATGTATTTGTATCAGTTATCTAGTACCCATTTCACAAGCTTTATGTAGCTTAACTTGGGTCTAGATGGCGCTGTGTGAATTGTCTTGAGATTAATATTACTATTAAAAAAATCTTATTAACTCGTTAAATATCTTTATATTTATATTGATTTCTTCAGATCTAAACATATAAAGTACCTAATTTGAGACTAAAAGTAATCAGTGTAACAAATATAAATAAAGACTCATGTTCAAAAATTAAATTGTCTATTCTTACAAAATAGAAGCACTATTTCGTAATAATAGACAATGTCATTTTGGGGTTGAATAAAATCTCACATCTCACCAGGGGGGGAGGTAGTTACAGAAAATTCAAAGAAACATCTCACGTAATTCATGGACGCCCCCTAATGGGTGAAAGACGGCCCTGTCTATATCCATACTTACATACTGTACTGAACGGCAGTGAAACTCTTTGTTACATCGTATTCCATATGTTCAGGATCCGCAGCACACGCCGCTGCTGCGGCTGGCGTGGAACAAGCAGGACCCGAACTACCTGGCGACGGTCGCCATGGACGCGTGCGAGGTCATCATCCTCGACGTGAGGGTGCCCTGCACGCCCGTCGCCAGGCTCAACAACCACCGCGCCTGCGTCAACGGCATAGCGTGGGCGCCCCACAGGTACCCCACTAACAGATACCATACTATCGGGCGGGGCGTATATTTAATATACCGGCCTACTGCTTCATTATACTTTAATTTTGCGCCAAAAAAATAATATTGTCATGATTTGCTATAAATACTTTTACTTTTTAATTTTACTGCCAATTTATTAATGGAATAAAATGTGTGTTGTGGCGATAATCGTAAGAAAGTTGATAGAGGGCGCCACTAAGTTATACCGTGGAGATAGAAACGCCATATTTTCCAAACTACTTCTCTAGAATTAATATCTGTGCCTGTGGTTAGTCTATGATGCCCCATGCCACATTGGTGGTGGGGCAATAGTGACTACCGGGGCAATAAAGAATACATTCGAGAGGACACTTAGGTCTTGATGGTCGAGTGCTGAACAACTAAATAGTACCATTTTGAGTTAATACCTTAGTATCGCACGACTTTTTTATTCCTCACAACTGCGTACTGTGTGCTAAAGTACAAGAAATACCTCTGGATAAAATCATCCATTAAAAAAATCTCTTCACCAGTTCCTGCCACATCTGCACAGCTGGAGACGACCACCAAGCACTGATATGGGACATCCAGCAAATGCCGCGTGCAATCGAGGACCCAATATTGGCTTACACCGCGGCCGAGGGCGAAGTCAACCAGATCCAGTGGGGGGCGACCCAGCCCGACTGGATCGCAATCTGCTACAACCGGCACACAGAGATACTACGCGTCTAAATTACATTCAACATTACTTATTTAAAACTCGCGTTTTGTACACGTTTTTAATATGGTTTGACGGGTTTTACCACAAATAATTTTATGGTAAATAGGTATTTACCTCTCGACTTTATAACTAGGTGGCACTAGCCGTGTATGACGGAAGGAATGTATTTTTTTTTTTATATGACAATGAAATGATACACCCGCCTGTGCTAACGGTTTATGCTGGCGGGGCACCAGTGAAGGATGATAAGATGAGTATGAGGTCAGGTGAGTTAGCCCATCGTGATAAATTCATCTGGAACTTATCACGATGGTTTATTAACAATCCCTTTCCCCCTCGGAGGGGTATTAAACTGAATTGATAATGGAATGATGGACCGCGTGCGAACGGTTTACGCTGACATGGAACATTGCTAGCAATGGGGTCGAGAGTCCACATTACTAACAATCCCTTTCCCCCTCGGAAGGAGTGTATTAAACTGGTTTAAAATGAGACACGTTCCTAGGTGAGGTAAATTTGGTATACTCACCTAGAAGAGCAAAAACGTAAAGCCAAGGAATATGGCTTTAGAAAATAATTGATATATAAAAACAGAACGTCAAAATATACAGTTCAAAAATATATAAAAAGGTCTGCGTATCAAAAAACAAACGGTGTTGCCTTGTAACTGCTAATGCCAATGTTGATATGTACCGACAGTTTCGACTACCGTCATTTTTCGAATACTCTAATGACGGTAGTGACACATTATATTATTAACCGAATCTTAACACCCTGTTACTCCAGTCAGCTCGTGACTCCAGCTAGTGTAACCTAGTCGAAGCGTCGTGAGGTAAATGCCTTTATTTACCATACAATTATTCGTGTTAAAACAAGTTCGACAATATTGTCAAAGTTTGTACCCTGTTTGGTTGTGTTGTGACATGTTCCTAATTTTGGTTTAAGATACCCTTTCCAATCTTCACGCCATGTCCTGTGCATAGTAGACAGAGACAATGACGAAGACCTTGTAATGGTCTTACATATAAAGTCATACTGTTTGAGAAATGCAGTAGTATTTATTAAAAAAATTGAAATTCTCATAAGGACTAACTGCGTGAGCGAGACAGCAATATACTGCGCACCTGCTCACACATACCAGTTAGAATGCGCAATATAAAATATCTCGAATTCTAGTTTTTTTTTTCTCATCCGGCCATTCTTAACTGCGTGAGCGAGACAATAATATACTGCGCGTGTGCTCACACATACCAGTTAGAATGCGCAATATAAAATATCTCGAATTCTAGTTTTTTTTTCTTTATTTTCTTCTCCGGACATTCTTAACTGCGTGAGCGAGACCGCAATATACTGCGCACCTCCTCACACATACCAGTCAGATGCAATATAAAATATCTCGAATTCTATAGTTTTTTTTTCTTTATGTTATTTTCCGGCCATTCTTTATGTTTGAGAGTCATGACCACCATAAATTCACTTAGGTTATTGGCTCTCTACCGGCTTTTATGTTTTATCACAAACAAACAGAAGTATTGGTGTTCTATAAAAAAAACTTAATTTTTTTTTAAATTTTTTTATAATTTGTGGACAATATCTGACTGACTTGTCTGTGATCTCATGTGAATAAAAGATTGATTAATTGGAAATCAAGATTTACTTCTGTATTTCTTTATTGTTTTCATTCTATAAACATACATTATTTTTCTCACTATAATATATCTTATTTATTCAATATTACAATAGAATTTTATAACAGACATTTCGATAAGAAATTTTAACATTTTTTTAGCATGTAAGAGGTATATTTAAAATTATTAGTTAATGCAAGAAATGCAGTGTTTACATAGACAATTCTTAGTTTTTCTATTGCAAAAGCAAGGTGTCACAAACAAGACTATGTCACATCTATAATGTTACATTCAGCCGGTTCCCCTGCCACTCGCGCTGCCGGAAATATTGCCGGGCGAGCAACTGAGCGAGAGGGCTGAATGTAGAAACACGCTGCCAGTCCTTTGAGTCGCGCACGATAAACCGACAATCGAGGAAGCGCCGGGCAGCGCGAGTGGCAGCGCCAATCGCATGAGAAGTGTTTACACTCTCGCGCTGCTCACTTCCCTGCCAATTGGGGCCGAGTGTAAATTGGGCTTAAAGGAAGATAAGATAAATATAAAGAATTATGACTTTAAATTAAATTTTTATCTTCCACTGTATGTGTTTATAAACAAACTGATAAGATTTTAAATGAACAGTTTGTGATATAAGAAATGCGACAAACATTCGTATGAATTTTAAGGACTGCACGCTAAATAAAGACAGCGACCTTAAAGTGAATTGAGAACAAAGCACAGATAACGTTATGTTATAGAGTAATTAATTTGCCGCCATTTCTTCAATTATGACATTAGCTCCTTCGAGGATTCGAATTTTAAATTGTATATATACATACACACATACTTGTATATTGTGTTCAATTAAAAAAAACGTATGGAACAACGCGTAGTAAGCTATAAGTAGTTTTTTTTGTATATACTTGCCCTAGGAACATTGATCTAGCCACCCGGGGGTTGTTGCCCTCGGAGTAGATGCCAGGGTAAAAGGGTTCGCCCCGAGGCCCCAATCTTTACCTCCCTAGGGAGATGTGGAAGACCAGACAGTCAGTCTCTTAATGCAAGGAGAAAGTTCATACTTGCGAGAGTGACTGTGAACATTTTCCTATAATTTATGTAACTAATAAACAACAGATAATAAAATATTGAGTATCTGTTGTTTATTAGTTATATATAACTTTATATACATTCTAAAACTAATGTTCTCATCTCACTTTAGGGTTGCCACTAAAGGGACACCTTTAGATCCATTGCATTTATATGTACACAAAATTAGTATCAAACAGGTCATAATTAATATGATTTTTGCGTTATTTATATAAATTTACAGAGCATTATAAAACTTATTTTAGAATTGTCATTACTTATAATAGTATGCTTAAATTTTCTTCTATATTTCAATGATTACAAATAGCTATGCTGCTCTTTAGTCTATAGAATTGTATTTCCTTTTAGCAATATAACTTTCTCAGTATATTTTCCCTCCGTCAATGACTATATTCTGTTTGTGTAGTCTTAGTAACATGTATATTTATATGGGACTAGATTAGTTAACTTATATACATTATTAGTACTTAAGATTTCATACAATTGAATAAATTGTAAAAAATATAAGGCACTTTTTTTTACAACAATAACACAATTTCATTAAATAAATCAAAATATTTATATTAACAAGGTCTCTGTCCTGCAAATTTTGTATAAATTGATAGTTGTGATTCAGGAGTTCGTGGAACGAAATCCATCAAAACATTAATAAAATAGTCCATGCTGACAGCAGGGCATTCTATATCTCTTTCTAATGCTTGTAGAGCGGCTTCATGACACACAGCGTTCAGCTCAGCACCTGAGAAACCCTCAGTCATTTTTGCCAATTTCCTTGCGCTTACATCTTTACTTACACTCATTTTCGAAAGCTTCAGCTCTAATATCTCTAATCTTGTTTGTAAATCTGGTAAAGGAACATATATCAGTCTATCTAAACGCCCAGGTCTCAACAGCGCGCTATCCATTTTGTCGGGACGATTGGTAGCTGCAAGTACAGTCACTGAGTGTAATGGTACAACTCCATCCAACTCTGTCAATAATTGCGCCAACACCCGTTCATGGACTCCTGCCTCTCCCACTCCCCGCTCTCCGCCAATAGCATCCATCTCATCGAAGAATATAATTGACGGCGCAACTTGTCGAGCCTTGGTAAACAAATCACGAACAGCCCTTTCAGACTCACCCACCCACTTTGAAAACAACTCTGGACCTCTGATTGATAAAAAATTAAGGCCACTCTCTGTAGCTAGAGCTTTGGCTATCATTGTTTTTGAACAACCTGGAGGGCCATAGAGCAACACTCCACTTGGAGGTTTAACTCCTAATCGTTTGAAGCTACCAGCATGTTTCAGAGGCCATTCAACAGCTTGGCGAAGTTTTAATTTCAATCTACCTAGTCCACCAATGTCTGACCATCTCACATTCGGGATTTCTATTAACAACTCCCTCATCGCACTAGGTCGGACAACAGTCAATGCTGCCATCAAATCTTCATGTTCAATTATTTCACTAGATCGTTTTATACATCTCATTGAAGCTTGAGAGCAAAGATTGACAAGATCAGCTGCAACATAGCCATGAGCTAAATCTCCAATAGCATCAATGTCATGCGATGAGATTTTATTGGGAAGGCTCTTTAATAAAGTATTTAAAATCTGTTTTCTTCTATATCTGTCTGGTATTGGTACTTCTATTTCTTTATCAAGCCTTCCAAATCTTCGCAACATAGGATCAATAGCATCAGGTTTTCTGGTGGTTGCTAAAACAAACACTCTACAGTTTTCTTCATGCAAACTGTCTAACAGTGACACAAACGCTGAAGTTATTCTTCTCTCTTGCTCAGTGCTGCCTGATGATCTCCTAGGGCATATAGTTTCAATTTCGTCTACTAAAATTATACTAGGTTCATTTTCTTTAGCTTTTGAAAATAATCCTTTCATAATAGCTTCTGTTTCACCAAAATATTTACTGAATATACTAGGACCATTGACTTCAATGTAATAGCATTTTATATTTTCTATTAGATATTTACAAATTGCAGTTTTTCCTATGCCAGAATGGCCATGTATGAGCAGGCCTCTTGTGGGTTGAAAGTTGGCAGTTAAACCAGTTTTCCTGAATGAAATATTAATAAATGTTTTTACTTCATCTAAAATGTCGTCAATGCCACCTAAAGCTATAGGTTTCTTTTTAACCTTGTGAATAACATCTTTTTCCATACTCCAGACTGTATTTTCACTTAAAACACACCATATCTTATTTGATCCATCTAAGTTTTCTGATGTGACATTAATTATTTGAATCTCTAATTTCTTACCAAAGTAATAATAAACCAAAACAGTACCAATATTAACAAAATGTTTGTGAAAATGCTGCCTCAGTATATCACATATGTCTGTTTCAACTTTATGATTATTAATTTTAATTGTAACATGTGTTGCATCTGGGATCAGCCCCTCAACAACTGAAACAGTGACTTTTTTATTATCACTACACCAAGCACCTGCCAAATCTGAAACAAGTAGACAAAAACATTTTTTTTATTCATTTGCTTTGAATAAGTTACATTGCTCTTAGAAATACATATACAGTTCCATATTCAGCTACAGCTACCGATCCAATCAATCCCCTATCAAATTCAAACAGGGATTGAAATTACGAAGGCCTGAGCTTCGAACACCCAGTGATGTCCTCAGACTAAAGTTGTATCCGTCAGGTGGGAGTTTGCCTTCAGCCGTAAGTTTGCAGATTTGGAGTGCCATCTGCACTCGCCCTTATCATCCAGTGAAGCATTAGGGTAAAAAAAAAACAGAATTTACTAGCTCCTACTTTTTGTTACATTAGCTATATAGTTATATAAAAATGCAGACTATAACCATGTGCACTATAGCCTGGTGCGGGTGACAGTTTCCTTAATGTTTCGTTTTACTCTAAAAAGTTGCAGTGATTTACAAATTATGTCTTAGTATTTCAGCTGTACCACATTCGTAATATATTAAATCATTAATAACTTTATTAACTTAAATATAGCAATTGGCAAATATTACCTGCAGCTGGTAAAATTACGGCGGCGGGTGCTGCAGTTTTAGACGGCCACATACGTTTCACAAGAGTCGGCGCTCCCTCTCTGCTAAGTTCGAGGGCGCCCCCGATTACAGCGCCAATCAAGGAACCCGCGGACGGGTGTACCATCACAGAATTCCGCGGGACGCCCTCCTGTAGAGGTCCACCTCTTACCAGCCATGAATGTAATTTTTTCTCCTCAATATATGGACACTTTAACTGGTCTTTTGAACAATTTAATTCTACGTGCTTGTTTTTATCATTTGAGGTTATACAACAACCGCAACGCTCACAGTCAACCCACAGTGTTTTCTTAGCTTGTTTCGATGCCATATTCACTTCAGGCTTAGTGTTAATGTTTAAATATATAAGTAAATAAAATAATTAAATATAAAAATTAGAAAAACAGAAAACGACCTATGTCCTAAATTGCGATCTTCTCCTTTCTGTATGCTATATATATATATATATATGACAGTGGCAGATACAAACTAAATTTCGGAACTACAGTTATCAGTGTTTCAATCTTCTCCTTTACTTCTATGACAATCGGTGGTTATTTTTCACGATCATTATGTCAACGTCACAAAGACAAATTAAATTGACTACAAATTTTGACAGCTTGGCAACAGTGTAGTGCAGAAAAACAGGATTATGCACGTAGATAATAACATATAAATTTGTTTTTTTAAAAGAAATTTCTATGTTATTATATAAGAAAAATATGTCTTAAGTTAAGTTAGGTAAAGTGTACTTTAACTGCAAAGTTAGTTTTTTTTATTAAGTATTCCGCTCTAAGAGGCTTAAATCCCAGTTACACGGGGGTTGTAGCCCCTGTGTCTAAAGTGTGGAAATCTTCAAAAGAATATTACCCCGGCGGAACAGAGGGAGGACAAGACGGTGTGTAGGATTTTTACCCACCAAAAACCACATGGCGTACCTACGAGCGCCTATACCGCAGCCCGGGTTTCGTATGTGCATTGTACCCCAACAATCAATGCGTGAATTTTGTTTTAAGAATCTTGTTCTACGATTTAGAAACAGTAATCGAAAACGGAATGTCTTGGTCAAGTATTGATCAATGTCAGATAAGTGTCAATGTCAAATTGGCATATAGTTGGTCATTTTTTGTTTCCTATATAATTTGTATTTGTAATGCTTACGTCCTTTACTCATAAAGGGAAATATTTTTTTATATGATTCCGTGCTATCTGAATCTATGTGACAACACTTAATTAAACAAATCATATGTACTAATTTTAATAGTTTCATCATATTTAATGCGGACATTAAAAGCGAAAAAGTGTTCTTATAAAAATGAGAAATATAATATATAATTAAGTAAAATAAAACTCGAAGAGTGGTGGCTATTATAGTGTTTATTTATTTACTGAGTCAATTCACCTATAGGCATTAAATTAATTCATTAACTGTAATTATTGAATTAGCTTTCGGCAGTTTGTTGTGTTTGTTAATAAAGTGCAAGACGTATACAAGATGACTCTCGCGGAGTTCTTCAGTTGTTCATTGCTCGCCTTCGGAGCACCGTTGGCCATGTTTTCCATGACAGTAGCCAATGACCCGGTGCGCATTATAATCATGATAGCGGCAGCGTTTGGATGGCTTTTGTCATTCCTTCTGTCGTCTGTGGTTTGGTACGCCGTGGTGCCGCTGCGCCCGTACCTGTCGTTTGGATTGGTGTTTGCAATCGCATTTCAGGTATGTATTTTTATATAATACTTTTTTTTCCTTTTGAATATTGCTTAATTGGCAATCTGCTTTTAATATACAATAGTCCAACCTTTTGGCTCCTTTTTATTTGTTTCCTTTTAAATTAATGATGCTGCTCCAATCAGACAGCCCTTTGGCGCTGTCTGTGAATCTCTCCACTAGTATCACACATAAGCAATTGTTCATTGTCAAAAACATCTGTATGAAAGACAAACACCCCTGTCATGTCTATAAATTTGTTTTTTTTAAAGAAATTTCTATGTTATTATATAAGAAAAATATGTCTTCAAGTATAGCAAGTTAAGTTAGGTTAAGTTTACTTTAACTGCAAAGTTAGTCTTTTTATTCAGTATTCCGCTCTAAGAGGTTTTATGTCAAGAGAATCTTAGACTCCCCGATCCCTGCAGTTCAGCAGGCCAGTTAATTTTTGTGTCCATTTAGTCTAGACTGGTAGCTTCTATTGAATGATTGTATTTCCTGTTTGTCAGTGTTTAAGTTTATGTCCATATACATAAGCTTGTTACTAATGTATTATGGAATATTTAACACTAGCGGGTAGCTAGTGTTAAATATTCACAATTTTTATATAATACTTTTTATTTCCTTTTAAATATTGCTTAATTGGCAATCTGCTTTTAATACACAATAGTCCAACCTGTTGACTCTTTTTTAATTGTTTCCTTTAAAATTAATAATGCTGCGGATTCACAAGCCTGGGCAGGTAGTTAGTACTTTTTGGTTCAAAACGCTCAATTTACACAATACATGAATAAAGATGTTTTGAATTTCAATTTCAGGAAATATTTCGCTATGGTACATATAGACTGCTACGTAAGACGGAGGCAGGTTTGAAGGAGATATCGGAGAACCAGGACATTGGCACCAATAAACTGGAGATGGCTTATGTTTCTGGACTTGGATTTGGACTCATGAGTGGTGCTTTTGCACTTGTTAATGTTTTGGCAGATTCGGTAAGTGCTCACATTTTCATTATTTGGCACTTACGATGATAAACCACCATGGTTTAGCACCATGACTTACTTTTGGTGGTCTGCCAGCTCTAAGATAAGCAGATATTGCTATTAATCATAAAGCTACCTCTATTTCTTTATAATAATGATGAGATCACTTCAAGTTTACATAATGGAATCAAATATTTGACATAATAGTTGGTAATAATTCTCCAGTAAACACCCAAGTCTCTTACTCATTCTTCTTGTGTTGAGTCTGTATTCTGAATGAGTGGTTAAATAAAAAAAAATACTATTCCAAACTGCTAATATTAAGTTTACTTGAATGAAGATTATTTCTATTCTAACAAACTCGTCTGGGATAACAGCTGTATAGGAGGTTGTATGAAGGTATACTCATTAGTTATTTTTATTTGGTTTTCCAGATAGGTCCAGGGACGTTGGGACTCCAGAATGGTACAGAATACTTCTTCGTCACAAGTTCTGCCATGACACTGTGCATGATCCTGCTCAATACATTCTGGAGCGTCATATTCTTCAGTGGTTTAGATGAGAAGAACTATTTCAAAGTTCTTTGGGTTATTGTCACACATTTCTTTGTCTCTGGACTAAGTTTATTAAATCGTAGACAGCTATATGCAGCTACTTTGATACCTTCATATATAATATTAATAATGACATGTGTTATTGCATTTAGATCAGCCGGTGGGACATTCAAGAGTTTCATTCAGACTTTTACAAGAAGATAGTTTATTTTGTAGTTTGACTATTCTGGTTTAAAGTGTAACATGACAGAGCATGTCCATTATGTAACATACTTGCTAACAATTATCAGATGAAACCAATTAAAATGACTGTTTATCGCTTATCTATGAATTTGACAGTTGCAGTTGCAAAGAGAACGTATGGTATGCAGCTGATAATAGAATAGGAATAAGTAGGTATTTAATAACTTAATTATAAATCAGGCAGGGAAGCATAAAACGAACACGATATTTTTACTGTGGATCTATCATGGAGTGTTGTGGTTTTTTTATGAACGACAATCGAATGGGGCACCCGCCTGGTCTAGTGGTATACGCTGATTGGCCAGCAGTGGAGTATGATATGTAAGATGAGCTTTAAGGTTAGATTAGTTTGACCAGACATTAAGCACGATGGTTTCCAGGAGGAACCGCGTGTACGTCGACTAGACATGGTACATTGCTAGCAATGGGTAATCCCCATTACTAAGCATATTCTTGTCCCCGAAGTGTTATGGTAGAACTAGGGTCACAACATCGTTTCTCCCAAAGATTCATGCTGTCACCATATATGGTTGTGCAGAATTTTTGAACTGGGAAATACAACAACTTAAAATGGTGCTGAGAGATATCACTTTGTTACCACGTTTCGCGTGGTAAGTCCATTTTCCTCCATCCTAACCTATTCTTGTCTCACTCTCATACCTATCCTCTTCCTTCCTTATAGCAAGAGAAACATTGTTGTGATCCCCAGATGTTCCAGGTGCTCACGGGGAGCGGTTAGCAGTAAAGTACTTATGGACAATGAAGCTTGAGGTCACCCGATGGGGTGACTCTGAAGCTTCTGTGTCCCCTAAGTATAAATAGAAACAAAATACATTCGTAATCGCGTAAATGTCAATTTCAATCGGTTTCAAACAAGAACTGTTACATAATTAACTGCCAGTATTCGTTATTTAAATTAATCCATTATTGACTAATAAAATATTCCTGGACGCAATTGTATAGATTTAACGATTATCGTATACAGTTTTAGTTATTCAATAACCTAGAAATTAATCATCAACAATGACAAATCTAGTTTCGCGTACATTTCGCGTTTAGAACACTTTATCAATATAGATAATCGGAGTTTTAACATAAAATTATTCATGTTATAACCCAATTAACTAAATTATTGACGGCCGCGGTGGTCTATCGGTTTAAGACACCGCGTTACCACTGATGGTCGCAGGTTCGATTCCTCTCACGGTACAATCGTTTTGTAATCATGGGTATGATTGTTTGTATTGATCTGGGTGTTTTCTATGTATATTATGTATGCATTTACAAAAAAAAAAAAAATTATATCAGTTGTCTAGTACCATAATATAAGCTCTGCTCATCTTGGGTCTAGATGGCGCTGTGTGAATTGTCTGGGATTGTTATTATAATGAAAAGTCTAATCAGTTAGCGTGTTACAACTCTGTTATAAAAAATCCTCATTCATCAACCAAAATACTCCTTAATATGAAATTTTTTACCTCATTACAAGAATATTATGTACAAAACCCAATATTAATTTGCAGAGAAGTGTTCAAGAAAAAACATTTAAATTAACTTAAATATTTATTATCTTAATTATATAAGAAATCATTCCCAATTGTAGTCTTACTTTGGACGGAACTGATTTATTTATCATTAAAAAACTTGTATTAATAGATTTTGTTTTAAAATAAATTTATAATAATTTATGAGAATGTTTTCTTTATTCATTATTATCACCTATTATATAAATGTATTATAACAATCCATTGCAGGATGAGTCTTTCCCCATGATAGGAAGGTATTAATTATATAAAATAATAAATAATAGGAATTAAATAAAATAATATATAAGCGGAATAAAAAAAAATAATACAAATCAAAGTAATGAAATGGACTTCCGCAAAATACTTATGTATATATATAAGATATACTATATAAGTATATCTCATAACTATATAGATATATATATAAGATATACTTTTATTATTATTGAATTAGATGTTATTTTGCGGAAGTCCATTTCATTACTTTGATTTGTATTATTTTTTTTAATTCCGCTACCCTTAGCATGTAGGAGATGACAAATATTATATGTGGAAACCTAACCACCTACTGCTACTGCTACTGAAAGCATTACGACCTTCTCTATTGGTAACGGTAATCAGGTATCCGCACTAATTATTTGTGGTCTCACACATTATGGCAGGGCTAACTCGAGTTGTCTATTGATGTTGATGCCGGACGCACCCTGCTCTGTGTCCGGAAACTAGCGATAGCGGGCTGGCAACCGAACGGTGCGTTTCGGGAGATTGCTATCCGCAGTACCAGAAATTCCCAAACTTTTGTGTCGTAGACCCCTCGCCATATTTTTCGGTTTTGGATAAACCCCTCATTCTCACCTGGTATTGATTTTTATTAAATTTCTAACTCTAGTAAAGTTTACTGTTAAAAACATAAAGTAAAAACAACAAGATGACCGCTTTCGTAGACCCCTTGCAGTTTGTCTTAGACCCATGGGGGTCGATATAGACCACTTTGGTAATCACTGCGCTATACCATAATATCTACCTGCGTCATAACATCTACCTGCATGCCAAATTTCAGCCCGTTCCGTCCAGTGGTTTGGGCTGTGCGTTGATAGATCACTATGTCAGTCACCTTTGAGTTACATATATATAGATTTTACTACTTAGGGAAATGGTGAATCATGTAGAATACATGACTGACTAAGACGCCATTCATGTAGGAAATATGTCATACCTTTTTAAAGATCTACATATCAAAAGGTAAAAAGTATTTAGTATATACAAAAATATACTGTTTTGTAGATATGCTCACAATGAGTAATACTATAGTTAAAATTTTGCAAGAATATTGTTATCTTTAGAGATTTAAGCTAAACTAACAGTCATAATAAAGCTTATCCATAAATCATATGAGTTATAATAAATATGTAAATAGGTTTTACTCACTATTGCAAGCCCCAAAGCAATATATACTTAAACCAAAATATTGCGCTATAGACCTGATCTATACATCTGTTAGAACATTATGTTCAATAGAATTTACCATATATTCAATAGAATAATTTTAATGTCATTATATTGAAATCATACATATATAATGTAAGAGAATGGGATCAAGAGACCGTTGCACCTATTAGTATGCAATGGTCGATTGATCACATTTAGGCTTTAATAGTTTAATAGAGATGTCTTAAAGCTTTCTGTTAGACAAAATACATGGTTTATTAACCCATACATTCATATCATATCATATAAACTAAAATGTATTCCTATAAGTATACAGTTCATAATATTTTAAAATACATGTTGTTTAAATTATTCAATACTTTTTTTTGGACTACTCTAATGCTATTGGCCGCAGCTGGCCATTACGGCTTCACCAGACGATAGGGGGCGAGTGCAGATGATATTCTAAACCAAAGGAAGGACTTATGGAGTGGCTGAAGGCCAACTCTCGCCTGACGGATACAACTTTAGTCTGAGGGCTCCGCTTAGGATTACCGTCGTAATTTCGATCCCCGTTTGAATTGGACAGCATCATAAATGAACAGTTGATTGATCCCATCATGATAGCCATTTAAATTATAAGTGATATAGTTCGAATTGTTATTTACTGAGATCCTGTCTCCTGACTTTCATCTGCCAACTGAGTCAACAGTGAATCTACTGTCCATACAGAATCTGTTGTGTCCACCTCCACCTGTGGTACATATGACATCAGTATCTCCAGGGCTGCCTCCACACCCTCGGCCGAACTGCTCAGTCCCCCACCCACTTCTGTCAAAGCACTCACTGTTTCTTTATCCTTACGATCAGCACTGAAAACACAGTGTGATAAGATATACAAGGTTATATATAATAAAGTAATTAGGAGGAAACTTATTAATATTAAAAATGCGAAAATAAGTGAGTATGGATGGATGTTCCTTACACTTTCACATAAAAACTACTGAACGGATTTTGATGAAATTTTACAGTTATACAACTTATACATCAGTATAACATATAGGCTATAAATTTCATGAAGGTGAAACCGCGGGCAAAGCTAGTATATAATACAGGAATTAGGGGGGATTATTAGCAATGTGGATTTGATCCCAGCAAGCAATATATCATGTCAGGTTGACTTCCAAGGAGTTCCTCCTGGAAACCATCATGATAAATCCTGGTGTATTTGTCATGATGGACCAAATGACCTGATGTGATGCTTATTTTAACAAACTCCACTAATGCCCCGCCAGCGTGAAATGTTAGGGCAGGTCGGAGTACCATTTCATTATCATTCATAAACAAAAATTTAGAAATTGTAGCAGGTTTTCTTTCTTTCACATAGTGTTATTGCAATTGGACTCAGCTTATTACATAAAGTAAATGCTATTATAATTAGTACGACCTTTTTAGACTTCCCAAAACCTAGCAATAGAATTAAAATTTTTAATTTAAAATTTAAAAATTTTTGATTTTTAATTGATGATAATGCAATACAGCACCTGCATGAGCTAACAGTATTCGCTAGCGGTATTACCAGTGATAAGATGAACAATGTGGTCAGGTCTGTTAGCCCACCATGACAAATTCACAAGGAATTTATCAGGATGGTCTCCAGAGGGCTCCGCATGGAGGTAAACCTGACATGGTACATTACTAACAATCTCTGTCCCCTCTTAAACGTTGAGTTCTACAGCCATACTTACGTAGGTGGCACAGAAATTTCTTTTTCCAATATATCCTGTAGATCGTCTAAATCGGGTATTGTGGGTATATCGTCGCTAGACTCCGGTGATTTCTTTGGTATCACGTACTCTCTGTATGAAAAGAAGTCACAATTAATGCGATAATACAAAAATAAATGTATTTTGCATTTCATTGAGACTGGAACTTACTTTGCTTCGATACGTGTACCTTCCGCCCAAACGCCTATTTTCTTAGGCTCTGGAACATTTGTATTATACGGGTCACTCATGTTGCAAGAGAACCGTAATAAATACAATCGTAATACAATATTATAAAATTAAATTAATAAATTCACAAAAGTAAACAAACAAAATTACGTTTATTGTTCATCAGAATATGACAATAACTGTCAGTACAGTAGCGTGTAACGTCAGTCATGACGTGTTTGCGAAAGAGATTCAAGACTAATACCAATTCTTTATTTTTTTCATGAATTTGGCCAGGAAATGAAAATTAGGGATTTAGGAAACGATTTAGTGCTCATGATTTACAAATTACAGTTAATGAAAGTATTCGTTTAGTAGGTTTTTTTTATGGATGATGGCATTCCGCCTAGGCATTCTATCTCCTTTCTTTCTTGAAACTTACAAACTCTACTGTCATCATCATCTCTCTTCCTCTTATTGTAGTGTAACACTTCGGCGGTGTTCATTCGTGGTCCGCTAGTATAGGTAATATTAGATTTTTCTTGTGCGTAAACAGAAATTTGTATCAAGAGAAATGGTGATAAAATATTTTTGTTGTGTGAAGATGCTACTTCAATGCAGAAGAATAGGTACTAAGTTCAGTTGATGCATTTACGATTCAGAATTATAGAGATTTTCCTGGAGGTTCACTGCAAGTATTAATAACTCATTAACCCATTCATATAGATATTCTCGCGAGACTACAGCATGAATATTTCTCCTATATTAAGGTTTTTTAAGGGTCGGCAATGTGCATTTGACATCCCTGATGTTTCAGGCGATAGGCCAATTGCCTGTTTGCCACCATCGTAGTAGATATAAAAAACCGTTATAAATAAAACACTAAGAAATAATTTAAAATATTCTTTTATTTCTTTATAGAATAATAAAAAATACAACAGACAGCACACATTCCGAATGCGTTATCAATACGTATTGCACGTTTTACGTGTTCACATAAACCTAGACGATGTGATGACTTAACAACTAAGTGTAATCGATACAAATACAGACCAGAAAAATAAAAAAGACATATTTATTATCAATTTACCAAATAAATTGTCATTGCTAGCTACCTACCCAGTTTTAGATTTTTTACTTGAAGATAATTATTTATTTTTAATACAGCATTATTCAGTACAACATTATTCAATTGTTTATTAATGTATTTTAAAAAATTTACTTATCTTTTGACATAATATTTCAATTGTTTTTAGATTGGGTAAAAATTACAATAAATGGCCAGTTATTTACATATGAAAGTAATAAGTACTTATTCATTTAAAAAATAAAAAGCATAGTATAAGAAAAGATCCTTAAAAATTAAAACTTAAGCAGAATCCTGTTTATTTCTCTGGCCTGCAACGGTCTGATACTAGCACGAAGTACTTAATATTTAAGGGAGAGAACAAAACAGCTGAAACGTTGTACTTAACCAAACCTATAGACACGTTTGTTAACCGACTTCAAAAGAGGAGGTGTTATATTCGATCGAGGTGTTTTTTATCTATATCGTATCATATTGTTAATTGTGAACCGAGTTTCAAAATTCTTTTTTCTTGGAGGTCGTCACACTGCCATAAAATCAGGATCTGATAATGTGATTCCAGGATACTTGAAGGAAATCATCAAAAAATTTATCTACTTATTAATATTATAATAACCCTGGACAATTCACATAGCGACATCCAGTCCCAAGCTCTTAGCTTATATTATGGGTCCTAAACAACTGATATAAACACATTTTTTTTGTAAACACAGTATATAGGATACTCTACCTACTTCCTATGTATGTAGGAAACTCTCCGACCAACACAAACAATCATACTCATGAATACAAAAGTTTGTACTGTGCGAGGAATCGAACCCGCGACCATTAGAAGGCCCTCACATGTATAAATAGTTAATTGAAGTCGGTTATTCATGGTCTAAATACGCGTATTACCTCTACTTATATTTTAGGTAAACAATCTTAAACATGTCTGAATTGAAGAGACGATTTTAATTATATCTGCTAAACTTTAAATTAACAATTTCATAAGACACATCAAGTTTGTTTACCAAAAACAATATACGGAAAATATAACAGAGAATGTTCACAATTTTTGGTAAATCACTGCATACACAAAATCTCAATATTTATAATTAAACATTTAACTAGGTACTATAAACATAGTCGTAACCATAGACTAAGTAATGACATAGGCACCTACTATACAATAACTGATTGGTAAAGGTACCAGAAAATCAATGGTAAACATGAACAAATTCCTGAAACTAGCATTAGAAATCTGATAAAACAATATTTTATCAAATTAAATATTATTTTCCGGAAGTCCACTTCATTACTTAATAAATTTATTTTATTTAATTCCGCTACAATTAGCATGTGAGACCACAAATATTAAGTGCGGAAACCTGACCACCGCTACTGGAAGCGTTACGACCTTCTCTATTGGTGATCAAATTAAGACCGTTAGTGAGTCTACACGTGTTTGGCCTCTGAATGCAAGGGCGGATCCAGCTTTGGCGCCAGAAGGGATCACGAAGTCGTGGTCATGGCGCCAGGAGGGGGTCACATAGTCGTGGTCATGGCGCCAGAAGGGATCACGAAGTCGTGGTCATGGCGCCAGGAGGGGGTCACATAGTCGTGGTCAAGTCCAGAACTTATAATTTAATTTTGATAACAATAGATACAAGTAAAAAGTAGTATTTTAATAATGTACAAAGTTATTATATTAAATTAATTAAATATTGAAGGTATGTGGTTACATAATATCTGCATGGTGTCAAAATGTATAAATAAAATCATTATGTTCAATTAGTGGTCCACCTAAGTCCTGGAACCAGCTCAGGGGAGGGGGGTCATGACCCCCCTGGATCCGCCGTTGTCTGAATGAGGCATCATTAGGCTTTGAATAGAGCGCAGAATAGATATAGATAAAGTTCTTTGCTAAAGGTAGTGGAATTAAACAAAATATTATAAACCCATTAAGTGAAGAACAAAATGTGAATATTTCTAAACATCTAATTTACGACTATGTTTAAAATAATATATATACAACTAATAGACATCAAATTAACTCCTCCCATTTTAGAAAAAGAGGTGTAAGGGTAACATGCACAGTCACAATATGGTGCGTCCACGTATATATATATAATAGAAACATTTATTATATAATCTAAATATATATAACTCAAAGGTGACTGACGTAGTGATCTATCAACGCACAGCCCAAACCACTGGACGGATCGGGCTGAAATTTGGCATGCAGGTAGATGTTATGACGTGGGCATCCGCTAAGAAAGGATTTTGATTAATTCTACCCCCAAGGGGATAAAATAGGGGATGAAAGTTTGTATGAAACTTTGTCAATTTTAAACCGATCGGGCTGAGACTTTGCATGCATAAAGCTAAAAGCGAAAAGATTTTTATAAATTCCACCCCTAAGGGGATAAATTAACGCGAGCGAAGCCGCGGGCAAAAGCTAATTTAATATAAAATTGGTTTTTATGTTAAAAAATGGTGAGTTACTAAAATGGCCAACTGACAGAGGGCAGGAAATGTAGTCCAAAAATCAGTTTAATGGTGTGATGGAGTATTGGAATGGAGTGGGGTTGTAGCCACAAGTGAGATTTTTTTTTTTCGGACTACTCTAATGCTGTTGGCCGCAGCTGGCCTTTACAGCTTCACCGGACGATAGGGGGCGAGTGCAAATGGCACTCCAAACCAAGGAAGGACTTATGGATCAGCTGAAGGCCAACTTGCCCCTGACAAGTGAGGTAAAGAGATAATATTCTGTGGTGGGGCACAATGGGTCCCAATGGAAAAAGATCCTATTAATTGTGCCATCCATAAGAATTGTTCATATCTAGATAAAAAATAGATACCATTCAGATATATTTAGAGTTTATTGTATTTTTAATATACTGAAAAACGACTTGGATAATAAAAGTAAAATAGTATTAAATTAAATATATTAATTATTAAAGTTTTACGAGACCAAAATGTCCATTGCCTTTTCCTAAGCCTTATTTTTAACAAAATTTCAGATTTTTTTTAAAGGAAGAAACAAACAGACTATATATAACATAAAAAAACGGGGTATCGCATTGTATTTGAGCTGCATTGCATTTCTATCTGGAGCTAAGACAGGCGCCTTAGCTCCAGATAGAAATGTTGCTTGAACATTTTACAGTGGTCTCACAATAGACTACAAATCTTCTCCTCATGGACAGGAGGCATGCAAATATAAGTTTTTCTTAATTCAAATAAAATTCAAAATTGAATTAAAACATCATTTAGTCGTGTAAGACCTTTAGTAGCTTATGAACGTCAAGTTTTTTGCAATTAATATATTTTCCTTACCGTCCAGTTCAGTATACAGATTCAATTGAGAAGAAAGATAGTGATACAAATTAGTATTTATTAAACAGATATAATTAAAACAGTTTTAAACTATTTGGACGCACCGCTTTTACAAGTAAACAACTACAATAATTACTATTTACAGTTCAGATTCAATAAAACCTACGTATATATAATTATCTTTTGTTTCTAGTGCTGACCACACCGGCGACATGTTTGATATCTACTACAGCCCTATTCTGTAGTACAAAATGTATGCGAAGCTTAATTGTGTGAGTTCCTTTCGGTGAACATGAGATTTTTTCTGTCAATATGTGAACAACAGGCTGATTTTGACGCGATAAATTTCAAATCGAATGGTACTGAAATGGTATGGATATAAAAATTTATACTATATTAAATTAAATCAAAAACCATTTATTTAGGACAATAATTTTAAAACTTCCGTGTTTAATATACATTATTTATATTATTAAGCGGGTCTTAACACGAAAAAATTGATGGTAAATAAAGGTTTTTTATTTACCTCTCTCGACATTACGACTAATTACTAGCCATGGTTACGAGTTGACTGGCTTACCTTTATTTACCATAAAATTATCCGTATAGACCCGGTTGTGCAATGTTTTTAGCAAATAAAATTCATCTCTATTCGATTTATTTTCTATTCATACGCATCAAAAGTCAGTGTATACCTTAAAATAGTATTTATAACAAACACTCGTTCGGTTCCCATTTACTAAATCATTCGGAGCACACATCAACCCTGCTACCCATCATTACAACCTTTAC